GCGCAACGTGTCTAACCTGTGCCAGTTTATTTTTTCTTGCCTCTAGCACAACATTTTTCACTCCGGCCATCTCACGGACTCATGCATTTTTTTATTCAGCCTATTCTGGGGCTTCTCAGCATTTCTTCTTTTTCTTGGCTCTTTGTCATCTCGCTTGTTCAGTTATCATGGTACTGTAATATTCCTAGCGGGACCATGGGGTCAAGGCGCCAACTTCTGATAGTAAAATAGAGCTGTCCGTCTGAGATTTCACGAACTGTTTTGTAACTATGCTGACCAGCTCTGTTTCGCCTGAAAAGTACTCTCGTTATGTCGTAATACGTTGCTGATTGTCATAATACCGCTCCAAAGTATACTGCTGATTTTTTGATTATAAATATGCATACGGTTAGTGACATATCTGCAGGTGTCGGAATAGATCTTTGTTCTCCCTGCCTAATGGTGCACTGTAAGTAATCAAATACCCTAGAACCGTGGCCTGCTTAAATGATTCCCTAGGCAACTAGAAGCAAGGGGACGGTGCGATTATGCCGCTTCAATCCGGTATCAAAAGAGAAAATGTTACACATCGCTGATGTAACTATTTTTCAATCCTTCCTTCTCCAGTCGTTGGTCATATACGAAGCGTTTACAAGATATGCGTAGTTTTTTCGTTTCCTTAACCACATATATACACGAATAAATTTCAGGGCACTGCTGTGAATGAATACTTTTGTTGAATAATCTTTATTTTTATTCTTATGCTTTTATAGGAAGTTTCTCAGGAAAAAGATTCTCGGCGATAAGCTGTTGAACAAGAACGATTTCATGGGCAACGAATGGAGCAGCAGCGACTCGTACGACAACCTGTCCATCAAGAATATCATCGAACACACCAGTGGTTCCGGTTCTGGTCTGCCGTTGCTCGTTCAGCGCACGATCGCTCGTCAACTGCAGATGATCAAGAGTGTCGGCAAAGGACGGTACGGAGAGGTGTGGAAAGCAAAGTGGCGCGGCGAGACTGTCGCCGTCAAGGTGTTTTTCACCACTGAGGAAGCGTCATGGTTCCGAGAAACCGAAATCTACCAGACGGTGATGTTGCGTCACGAAAATATCCTCGGTACGGATCGACAGACGAGAACAACCAAAGTTTCGACTTCAGTTCTGTCGGCTGTATAACAACCTGTTTCATTTGATTTTCAGGTTTTATTGCCGCCGATATCAAAGGTACCGGTAGTTGGACTCAACTGTTGTTGATAACCGATTACCACGAGAATGGTTCGCTGCACGATTTTCTAAAATCAAGGACGCTTGACTACGAACTGATGGCTAGACTTGCCTGCACTGCCGCCTCTGGCTTAGCTCATCTACACACCGAGATTCTTGGCACTCGAGGTACACTGATCTGTCTCTTCCCAGTGTTAAAGGTCATAGTTGTTCGGTACATTCGTGATGTTCCTACCCTCGGTGAAATTCAGTTCTTTAACGTTTCCGATTGGCGAAATGCCAGGACGATATGAAAAACCTACTGCCTTTGAAAGTCGAAAAGAATAGGCGAATTTGAACTAGTCCGCATAAACGCTGTTTTGGGTTTCTCGTGATAATATTCAGTTTCACGTACGGTTCTGTCTCACTTGTAAAATGATTTGCTTCGCTGATGACATCACGACAAGAACATTTATTTAATGTCCTGTAGCCTCCATTATCGGTTTAATGCGCTGAAACAACCGCGAGGTCGTTGAGTCGATCAGGATCAATCTTTATGTTTACTCCCCGGGCTTTATGATCATAGTCCCGCCTCTTAGCAGTGGCATTATCCAGACGTAATTGCCAGAGATTGGAAGCGATGCCAGCTTGATACGGATTTGTTGCAAGGAAATTTAGGAATCAGAAGCAAATTTTCAGGTATTCGATCAGGAAAAGACAAGGCATTCGCTTCCATCATACAGTAACCGCTTTACCAACAGCATCCTCTCTCTCGCCACTTATTTTATTCCTGCACTTGAAAGAGCACTTACTTTTCAGTCTATTTGAAGGTAAGCTGAAAAGTTGACGAAAGAACGGAATGAAGCCAGACGTTTGTA